GCATCTTCAAACTAAATCGTTACAGTCGCTAGCATTTATTTATGTTGTGTTCTGTTCAATGTTTTACACCAGAGCTAAGTTTATTATTTCGCTGTGACCTTTGAACGTACAGAAATCTGTACACTCGCTCCTGATTGGTTAATATAAGCACACCAGAACGAGAATGGGGCGCACTAGACCAGACTCTCTATTTTATTTCATATAGTGAGTCTGGTACCCAGGGTACGTAAGAATGGACAAGCATACTGTCAGTCATTGCTGCCAGTTAGAACATTGTTTCCACACGTACAGTTTTCAGAATGATTCATGGGGTGGTCAGTCCCAATTAATTTATAATAATAGATGTTTACGTAATATTCATGACTAGGGAATTTTCAGAGGATAATTTTACAGACAAGACAACTAGATCTCCGTTTGTAACTACTGAACTGGATATCATTAAAAAAATTTAAACAATGAATAATTATCAATCCTAATGTTGTGGATGTGGCCTTGTAAAGCTCGCTGGGCCAAGGTGGCATTTAGCCCCAAGAAATTTTGAAGGCTGAGGTTTTATATGGTGTCATAATCTGCTCATAAGCAGAAGGGGCCGCCCAACATATTTAAGAAAAAAACAAATTTACAACCAAATTTACAACCAACAAGGTTTTTAGAACCAAGCTTTACATTACTTATCACTGTGCAAATGCACAACCTTTACATGTACAAGCTGCAAAAATTGATAGAGATGACTCACGAAAGAAAAGAGGGATGCTTCTACACAACCTGATACAACTACCAAGCAATATAAAATCATCAAATGTATTTGCCAAAAACTTAACAATCTTTTATGTTACCCCCTTAAATTTCCACTTATTTTATTATAGGAATTATATTGGCAGAGTTTTTACAATCACGCCCTCCCGCTACGAAAAGATCAAAATAAACAAAACATAGTTCCTTCGATGGAAACGAGGACCTTATTTGAAACCTTTTTTATTATATTAGGAAAATAACCAAGATTTTAGAGGATAGGGCCAAGAGAAAGGAAGTATTTAAAATCTTTATAAATAAATAAATATTTAAAATCAGCAAGCATAGTTGTCAATAAACAATTGAGCAAAAATTTTAATTTTTCATATACACAGCAATAAATATATTTTTCGGCTCATGTACTGGATTTTATCTAGCTGCAGAGGCAATGTTTCCAGCTTTCAATTAATTTTTCAATAAATCATGAAATTGTTTCTATTTCTAAGAAGCGAGAAAAATGATGCAAGGACGGGTCGACTAGCAAAAGAGGCTATCTTTCTTGTTGGCTCAGAGTCATAGCACAGTTCGGTCGCCCAGTTAGATTCAATAACCGATTTATTCAGTAGAGCTTGAGTAGGGCTAGCTTTGTTTTTCGAATTTTGATCCATTCATATGATTCAGGGTACACACTTTTTATAAGAAAATAGTCTATAGAAATATTAAGACTCTAAATCGCTTAAATTTAAGAATAGTTTTAGAATAATGCAACGCTCAAGCTTCATCAAGAACCAAATTTTATGTGAGTTTTGTTCAAAGCAAGAAAGATGTGAATTTCACACTATCTGTCTTAGGTAGACGTATTTGGCCTTGGTGTCTGTCTTTGTGACACAACCGTGCTACTCAGCGACACCTTATATTTTTAAGAATGTTGTGGCTCCGTAAAAATAAGGTATTTCAAAAAAAGGTGGGGATGTGAAAAAAAATTTGGTGCAAACACGTTGATGTATCAATAGATGTTTTAAAGGATTGATACAAAAATAGGTTGCTGCAAAACATAAAAAGGGACCATAGGAAACAGCTACTTCTTATCCCCCTTTTCTGATATGCAAGTAAATGGCTTTTGGTGTCTCGTGACGTTTTGCAATGCCCTATAAGGGGGGACGACATTATCTCATAATTCATGATGATATCTTACAATTAATTCATGTTTCAAAATTACCAAAGCAAAGTATTTCGAAATTGTCAATGTTCCATTCTTACCCCCTAAAGTAGAAAGGAGATGTCAGGACACATTGGACCGGCTCACATACAAAATGGACCGAGTCTTCAAAACCAAACTTTGCAGATAAAAATATTGAAAAGGGAATAAAGAATGTTTTCAGGAATAACCAAAGGGCCCCGTACTTAGGTAATAATAGGAAATTGATTCCCTTTGCAACTGTGGTGATCATTTGGTACTTTTGAGGAGAATCTAAGGACACTGGATGAAATATCTATCTTTGTTTTGCTCAACTTATTTTTGGGGTACAACTAAAAAAACTCGAAAAACATACATGTACCAAAACTTTCAGTCATAAGTCTTTTTTACGGGGTACTCATCGAGTGTGAAAAACAGGAGCTGTAGTGGGCCAAATTCTCTTTACGGTTGCGTTCACGTGGCTTTTCATAATATTTTCTCTTATAATTTGATCTAATATAGTTACTTCGTCTTGCATCAAAAACATAATCTCTAATAATTTTTAGCATTGTTTATTGGTGCCATATTGAATTAAAAAGTATGGCCAGAAATAATTTTGACATTATGAGAGATTGGTTACTTGCTTCTCTCAAGTATACACCAATTCGACTTACGGCCTCGTTTAGGAAATTTCTCCAAATTTCATTATACGACCCTTTTATGCTCAGATTTGGCTTTATCGTCATAATTTTAGGCTGGATACGATTTTCGCATATTGTTTGTGCTTGCATTTTAGACTTAACGCAGAAATGAGGCTGTAAGTTGAATTGGTGTATTACGTGCTTCGTCTGATTTGTTTAAAATAAGAATAACTTCGTGGGAAACATGTCTAGCCTCAGGTAAAAATAATTAAAAAATGGAAAATATCTGTTTAGAGATTTGAAGATTTAGAGGACAGATTTTCTCAACAAATCGATCCTGCAACTTAAATGGTTTACAAAACTGTTATTTAGTGGTTTTAGAAAGAATTCATAATATAAAAATGGGGAACAATTAATGTAGATAAAACACTTTTATGATACCATTTGATGTTCTCGTCTATTTTGTTGAGATAATATAAGCCAAAACCATTTGCCGTAGATACTATGCCATTGGCATTTTCACTAATCGTGAAGTTTGAAAAGCCGCCTCTTCTTTTAAGCGTCTCCTTTGAAAAAATGCCCCGAAAAAGTTTGAAAAATGTAAAAGAGCAACCCAGGCGTAATACATATCTCAACAGTTATACATATCAAAAGTCACTTGAGTCAATGCTGTTATCAAATAAATAAATCTAACACAATATTAAAAGATGTATTCAGTTATTTTGTTATTTTATACTGGGAACCAAAGTTATTTCGTATTTCAAAACCAAAAAATCTAAATAGTTATAATCTAAAAATCTAAATAAAACTCTGTGGGATGGCATACAGTCCGCCAAAACCTCAGCACTGCTTTGCGGTGCGGTTCTTGGTGATAATGCTTAAAGAGACTGTCGAGTCTCTAAAGGCCAATCTCCATTGGGCCAAATTGTTTCGCTTCTTCGCCGGCGAAAGGTTATGAGCATGCGTATTTGAATTTTTTCGTTTCCTGTGCTGTGCGTGACGTCCGCCCAGAAAGTTTAAACCATTTGAACTTTTTTCTCTGTCGCCGGCGAATTTGACGTCCTATGTACATATGTCTGAGTCAAAAAGCAGCTTCGCATTGGGAGAGGAAATAAGATTTCTTGTTACAAGTACGTTACATGTTTCTTTTATTATCCTACTTGCAGTAGCGGCGCCTATCCTATAACTCATGCCATAAGGTGTTTTAGAGTCACACATAATCTCTCTTAGCATCTATTAGTTTGTGAACTTTCGATTCTTTCACTAGATATGGAACCACCAAAGACAACAAATGCTCAAATTTTGCATATGAAAAATTGTTGGTGGTCATATAATTGTAGATCTATAACCAGATTTTTATAATCTAGCTGTTGGTAGAATTTATGTACCCAAAGCCTTTTAATTTCTTTTAGTTGCTTTGTTTGGCTTCTTCAACAAATAAAGCAAAATCAGAATATTTGTATTATCATCCGACATCTTGAAATGCTTGGCACGCAGATATTTTCTGTCTATTTTCTTTATATTTTTTTTTCTATTTTCTTTCTATTTTCTTTCTATTTTCTTTCTATTTTCTTTCTATTTTTCTTTCTATTTACTGTCTATTTTCTTTCTATTTTTTTTCTATTTTCTTTCTATTTTTCTTTCTATTTTCTGTCTATTTTTTCCTATTTTCTTTCTATTTTCTTTCCATTTTCTTTCCATTTTCTTTCTATTTTCTGTCTATTTTCTTTCTATTTTTTTTCTATTTTCTTTCCATTTTCTTTCTATTTTTTTTCTATTTTCTTTCCATTTTCTTTCTATTTTTTTTCTATTTTCTTTCTATTTTCTTTCCATTTTCTTTCTATTTTTTTTCTATTTTCTTTCCATTTTCTTTCCATTTTCTTTCTATTTTCTTTCCATTTTCTTTCTATTTTTCTTTCTATTTTCTGTCTATTTTCTTTCTATTTTTTTCTATTTTCTTTCTATTTTTTTCTATTTTCTTTCTATTTTCTTTCTATTTTTCTTTCTATTTTCTGTCTATTTTCTTTCTATTTTCTGTCTATTTTTTTTCTATTTTCTTTCCATTTTCTTTCTATTTTCTTTCTATTTTCTTTCTATTTTTCTTTCTATTTTCTGTCTATTTTCTTTCTATTTTTTTTCTATTTTCTTTCTATTTTCTTTCCATTTTCTTTCCATTTTCTTTCTATATTCTTTCTCTTTTCTTTCTATTTTTTTCTATTTTCTTTCTTTCTTCCTATTTTCTTTCTATTTTATTTCTTTCTTTCTATTTTTTTTCTATTTTATTTCTTTCTTTCTTTCTTTCTTTCTATTTTCTTTCTTTCTTTTCGTCAGCGCAAAAGCGCAAAAAAATTCGCCCAATGGAGATTGGCCTTAAGACTCATGTGTACTTCTTTTCCTAAATAGTTCTAATTTTTCTCTCCGAAAACTTTGATTATTTCATATTTCAATTACCCCCTATAGGGCCTCTTTTGCTATCGCGGCCGCGTCTTCGCGCTTAATTTCATTGCGGATTGCGGCATTTGGCTGATTTTCGCACGGTCTCGCGGCCTTTGGTCCTTCTATGCACTGACATGTGGCACTGATCAGTGGTTCTAAAACGGGGGTACTCGTTTCATATTCAAGAACTTGCTACCTCTCATCCCCTCAACAAGAATGTGCTGGTTGGTTAAAGTTATGCCAAGGTTTTTTTGACGATGGCAGTGAACGTACCAGGTCTTATAGCCGTCATAGTATTCTATATTATTATTTTCATCGTTGGTTTATTTGCTGCACGAAAAAAGAAATCCGGAGATGAAGCTGTGGGAGGGGAAGGGGAAGAGGTCATGCTTGCTGGAAGAAATGTTGGGCTCTTTGTGGGAACATTCACCATGACAGGTACTGAATTTTGAAAGATATTCCTAAATATCTTCTGCTTTGTTTATAGTAGTTCAATATTCAAACCAGATCTCTACTGCACCCCCACAAAACATCTAAGATTGCGGCTCTTTTAAACGTAAATAATCTCTCCGTTTTTGTTTTGTGGGGATGTTTTGTGGGGATGCAACTTAAATGGTTTACAAAACTGTTATTTAGTGGTCTTAGAAAGAATTCATAATATAAAAATAGGGAACAATTAATGTAGATAAAACACTTTTGTGATACCATTTGATGTTCTCGTCTATGTTGGGCTCTTTGTGGGAACATTCACCATGACAGGTACTGAATTTTGAAAGATATTCCTAAATATCTTCTGCTTTGTTTATAGTAGTTCAATATTCAAACCAGATCTCTACTGCACCCCCACAAAACATCTAAGATTGCGGCTCTTTTAAACGTAAATAATCTCTCCGTTTTTGTTTTGTGGGGATGTTTTGTGGGGATGCAACTTAAATGGTTTACAAAACTGTTATTTAGTGGTCTTAGAAAGAATTCATAATATAAAAATAGGGAACAATTAATGTAGATAAAACACTTTTGTGATACCATTTGATGTTCTCGTCTATGTTGGGCTCTTTGTGGGAACATTCACCATGACAGGTACTGAATTTTGAAAGATATTCCTAAATATCTTCTGCTTTGTTTATAGTAGTTCAATATTCAAACCAGATCTCTACTGCACCCCCACAAAACATCTAAGATTGCGGCTCTTTTAAACGTAAATAATCTCTCCGTTTTTGTTTTGTGGGGATGTTTTCTGCAATCGCGTGCAGACGAGAATAGGCACTTTCCTCCGTTTCCAGCAAAGTGCTTTCAAAAGTTCCTAAATCTTTAGGCAATGCCAAACCCCCTTTGGCGCTTTCAAAACTGCGATGACAGACGATACTTATAAACTTGAAGATTATGTTAAGATGTTTTTGTGTTTTTGAAGATTATGTCAAGATCTCTCTTCCAGTTATAAAAAAATCTAACGGAAGTGTACCAAAAAATATTGGTTATACACTTGGAACTGCAAGGATCAAAGAGTCTGTTTCCACAGTGTATTCGCAGTCAGCCCAGTGTGGAATCAGTGATATCCGATATCCGGCGTCGACTTGCAATATTCTATTTTATTTCTATTGTTTATTAGCATATATCTGGCATTAGTATATGCGTCGTTAGGGTTTGGACGTTTATCAAGTTGTTTGATTCTTTGAAAAGGGAACCGAATTTTGAATACACGTGTTTTGCTTGTACCATTGAGATAGTGATATGCCCAGAAATTCTCTCAATGGAATTTCAAAATACAATCCATTAGAAACGCTAGTAGGAAGCTGTGCGGCAGCGCTTTAACAGATGTTTAATATTTGTTTGATTCGTTTGGCCACAGAATAGAAATGACCAGAAGGGTCACTCCTGGCCAATCGATTCAGCGTGAGTTTTTTCGCGCATGCGTCACCAAAACGAGGATAGTATGTCAAATAATAAGCACGAACAAAGCACATCGATGAAAAACAACACAATAATGCGAGAGGGGACTAGGAAAACAAATTCAACGATCTGAAAAAGAATTAAACTAGTATCTTGCCCTGTATATATTGCTTCATAACCGAAAAATACTGCTATCAATGGTGGTCTCGCATCTCACAACTGTAGTAGGCCTGTAGTATTGATTATTAGCTAACAGGAAATTTAAATATCGTTTCCAAACTCACGATCCATAACGAACTAAGCGCCTCTGTGTTTTTATTCACTCTCCTTTTGCTTCATGATGGTATGAAGTGCAGCCCCAGTGATATTCAAGGGAGCTTGTTTTGAAATTTGCTTCAACACGCCTTCGATTGCGAAACATCCTAGACTACTAGCCTCCTTTCATGACGGTTGAAAACGAGAACTGTATGTACAGACAGCGCGGCGCCAGAAAAAATCGAGTGAACTTGCAACAAAGGATGCCGACACGAGTGACCCTTCTGGTCATTTCTATTCTGTGGTTTGGCCAGGTCAAAAAACATCGTCCAACAATATTGGTACAAAAATGTTTGAAAATATTTTACGGATGTTTTATTCGTGTGGCCAGGCCTTTACAATCGCATGGCACGTCCATATCTATCAACAGCTTTCCAACAACAATAATGGCTGTCGATCCGGAAGCGCAGGCGCGCAACTACAGGGGGGAGGGGTCCTGGGGGTCCAGACCCCTGCCCTTTTTCTCAAAGGAGGAAAAGTGCCCTTCTTTTGAAAAAATTGCTTGAATATTTTTTGATCACACTAAAGAGAATCGTCATAAATGACAGATCCCGGCGATGTAATGGACCTCTCAGAAATACAGATAAATGATTTGTCAGACTTTCACACAGTAATAGAGTCTATGTTGAAGCTCCTACTCTACAGCGTGTTTTATGATGCGCTACGCACTATTTTTGAAGAAAAATTGTTCTAGGACTCAAAAACCAGAATAAAGGCACAAGACTTTGAGATGGAATAGGCCCCTACGACCACTGGTAAAAAAAGTCAGAAGAAAGAAACCAAGAAATCTTTCTGTCTGTTTCAATGGCCTATATAATTGAAAGATTCGTAGAGGACCTTTGCATGAAACAAGCGAATGTAGAGAAATATTCGCGGACTGGTATTAGCAAGCTAATGTTCAGCTGTTTCATTCCTCAGCTAGAGTTGATGTTCAGCTGTATTACAACTCAGCTGAAGTCAAGACTTGCAGGCAGAAACCACCTGAACTCAAGGCTCGTGGACCTGTTAAACCTCCTCCCATCTGTAATACAAATCATATTATTCAATGTTCTTAAGGCCGTTCATATTTTAAAGAGCAAATTGTTTTCGGATATGGAGAATGAAGAACCAATTTTTAAAAATGAGCTGCCGCCGAGAAGGGGCAAGGGGGCAAATGGCCCTAGGACCTGGAGGTCTAGGGGGCCTCATTTCATTTCATTTCAAATGTTTAAGGAGGGTAACCCTTCAGCAATGCTGATTTTCAAGGGGCCCTCCACTTCAAATACTTACAGAAATTATTATAAAAAACAAATTATCCTAATTACATATCAATATTTACAATCTAAAATAAATCCTATTTTAACTTGAGTTATGGTAATTTCCAATATACAATATATTAATAACACGAAATGGTAATTTCCAATATACAATTTACAATTATGCCTATTTACAATTTCGCAAGATTTTTTTGAAGTTGGTCAAGGAAGATCCCTGTTTACACTCAGCTGAAAGGCCATTCCAAGACCTAGCACCTCTGAACGAGAAGCATTTCTGTCCATTTTTGGAGTTTTTCTTTTGTAGCCTTAGGTCAGTTGATGTATTCCTAAGATTCCTAGAACTTAACTTGGATTTCTCTGTGAAAAGATCACACATGTATCGTGGAGCCAGTCCATGAATCGATTTGAAGACCATGATATTTGACTCATTAGCGATTAGCTCGTCTATGGTCCTCCAGCCCAGCTCCTTTATGAGTGGTTAGCTCGGTGCATCAAAACTGCTGCCAGATACAATACGAGCAGCCCGGTTTTGTAGTTTTTGTAAGCGTTTGATTTCGGTAAGACCACAACAGCCCCACACCTAACAACAATAGCGAAAGTATGGCTCCACAATACTTGTGTACATAGTCTTCAGAGTTTTTTTTGGCAGAAAGGATTTTGCATGCTTCAAAAAGCCAATTCCTCTGGAGACCTTGGATAAAATTGTTTTAGTGTGTTCCTTCTAATCTAATGTGTTATCGATCTGTATTCCAAGATATTTGGTTTTTTGAACAACATCCAGCTCATTGTTTTGAATTTTTAGCTTTGAAGATTCATCTTGATTCTTTAAAGATTTATGCTTAATTATGGTGGAAATAAACAGGGCATGTGTTTTCATTACATTCAGTGAAAGTTTGTTGAGCCATTTTTCAACGTGTGCAAGGTCATTATTGATGACCTCATTCAGCTGAGTGATATCATGCGATTGATGGCAAAGACTCGTGTCATCTGCATACATAGACACATTTATTTTTTGGACAGATAGTTGGAGGTCGTTTATATAAATGAGGGGTACGAGACATGGGCCTTGGGGTACACCAATAAAGCTTTGGGTACTCATAAAGCAATTAATTCTGTTTTAACATGCAATTAATTGGGGGTAAAAAAATTACACTTATAAAGTAAACATTTTGAGCGAATGAATGAATTCAAGCTATTCATAAGGGCGTGGTCACAAAATTTTGTCTTTTATTCCCACCCTCCCCCCCCCCTTGCGTTTCCAAAACCTCTAGGCGGCCCTGGATGGCAGACAGAAAGGAGAAGTCCGCTGAGATTTGAGAAAATAGACGAAGGAATAAAATTTGTCTTGGATCACTGCCCTCTGAAATTTCTTGGTTGCGCGCCTGAAGCGAGGTTATAAACTACACTCTTTTTTTATAAGAACACGAGCCTCAAAATTGGTCAAAAGTTAAAAACAAATTAAGGGCAAGCAGGGGCTGAGCTACTGTAAAATGCAATTTTGAACGTTTTATCTCAAAACGAAGATTTTTGGCCATGTGTGGATGTTTTTTGGTGAATATTCAAATTTTTCGGCAAATGAAGGTTGTCTCACTCACTTTGTTGGCAAATTAGGCCTGAACACCTCCCTAGAGCGAAAAAGCTAGCACTCGCACTGCTTACACCCTATTAGATCAATAACAAATTGAGAACAATCCAGCCTCAGATTTTCGAAAAAATTAAGAACAGTCAGCCTGAACTTACATTTATTGGTTCTTATAAAAAAAGAGTGTATCATATTGCGAATATCAGGATCCGCCACTGCCTGTATTGCATGAATGCCTGTGTTTTTTTAAACAAGCCTTGTTCTTCAAATTAAACCAGGATTATTGACCTTCTTCTTTAAATGACTTTACCCGGATTGACCCGGATTACACTGTGGTTTACAGGTGTACATTCCAAATAAATATACCAAAAAAATGTACATTCCAAATGCCATCAGTAGAATCCCGTTTTCCTAGGCTCACAATTCCTCTACAAACAGGTCAGTGGCGGAAATTCAGGCTTTCATTTGGTGGGGCCCAGGCCTACGATTTTCCGACCAGATAACATCACGGACCATGTATAATTTCAAAGAAACTGCACATTTTGATAAAAATAGTTGATTTTTTGACGGGACTCTTTAGAAATCTTTGCTGACCACGCCATAATTAAGTAGTAAGAAGAACAATCCATTGATGATTTTTGATATATCAAGATTGATATCTCATCTAAAACAATTGATGATACAAGAGGTAGACCGATAACACTTTTGACAAGTCGTACGTTCATTTTATCCATTATATCTTGTTTTCGTCAGTGAGAAATACGTTTGAAAATAACTTTTATTCAGAAGAATCCAATAGAAATTTTGGCTGATCTTTACGGAATTGAAATTAAATACACAATTCACAAGCAGTTTTGATTTTGGTCATATATTGTTTGATTGATTATTTGGTAATGGCTAATATTTTATCAGCTATGCTATGTTCAAATTTTGCAAAAAGGGCAGAGAGAGTTTATAAAGGCCCCTGGGGTAAAAAAGGAAACGTGGATCACCTGCGAGCGAAGCGAGCAGAAAATTTGGCAATCACGCCCCTTCAGCCGAGAATCCACTCCGGAAAATGATCCGCGGATCGGATCAGATTTTGTGTTGCGCAAGCGCTTTGGATGCAAATATGGTCACATGACTGATCCGCCACGGATCGAAACGGATTGAAAAAAAAGTTGAAATCATTTCAACATTTTTTTGTACCGTTCCGGTACAGTAGTTTTCTTTTGATCAAAATCGAATTAGAACTTTCTAAACAATAGGGCACTTGCGTCATAAGGTGAGAATCCCGTGGAGATAATGTCAACGTGCATTCCAATCTGAAACGATCCGCGGATCGAAAGAACAACGCGATCTGATCAGATCCGCGGATCATTTTCCGGAGTGGGTTTTCGGCTTTAGATTAGCTTAAACAGGGACGCCTGCACAAGATTAGGGCAGGAGGGGCAGTGTTGGTGCCGAGGGCAAATCGTTGAATTTTTCTATTAACATAATCGAGCATTCCTAGGTGGGAGGGGGGCGAGGCTGGGGTAACATAATAAAATATTAACTTGAATATGTGCCACCCATACAGCAGGGATTTTTACCATCAAAGATTCTAAACATAAAGAAAATTTTGACGAAATTATCCATGAATGAAAATGATCATTAAATGGCCTTGTCACTCACTATTCACAATATTTGGTTTTATAAAAATCATGGCTGCTATAAATGGGCTGGTTGTAAAATTTTGATTGTCCGCTAAGTTTTTATACCGATTTATCCTCCTTAGGTTCCTGGAGTACTTCTGAGGGAACACATCGTTTGTTTATCATCTATTATCTTTGCCGCTCTCCCTCTTGTGGCCGACCCTGTCACAGACAAACTTTTCATTCTCTGCATTTTTGTGATGGTGTTATCATCTTTCTAGTATTTTCTAATAGATATTAACATAACGAGAGAGGCCAAAGAGGTCATCATATTTCAGGGCACTTTTTGCCCCCTCTGCCCCTCTTTGAAGAGGGCAGGAGGGGCAGCTGCCCCTCTAGCCCCCCTTGTGTAGGCGCCCCTGAGCTTAAAATACCTTTTCAGAACGATTTCTTGGAGTAATTTCGACACGTTAAACGGTTGCAATTATCCGACGAAAGCCCGATTTTCCGACGACGTCGCTGATTGGGGGTCCCGAGCCCCCCCCCCAAAACCCCCATAATTTCCGCCACTGATACAGTTAAAAAAAGCCATTTTGTACCCAAGGAACAAACCGAATAGCTTAAAAATTACGGTCATTACTGAGATGGACCAGAGCAATTTTTGTATTTGTTCTGGTCCGTCTTTTACAGCGAAATACAACTACGGAAGGCTGGCTTTATTCTAAGAAAAATTTACAACACCACAAATTATTCAAGTACTGATAAGTGTTATAACGAGAAGTACTGATCTAAA